TTTAAAATAAAATATGTCCTTAAAAAAAAATTTCTTTCGGTTTAAAATTTTTCTTACCCGGCAATATACTATCTTTTACTTCATTTGAAATGACTTGTTCAAATTTCGTCGATATTAAATTACTAACGGCTTGGGAAATTGCCGACATTAATTTTTCATGCCTATCCCTTTCTTTACTGTCTCTAATAGCTAATTGTTCTTCTAAAATAATCGAGTGTTGGTCTAAAGCTGATTTACAAAGCGATGCCAATACGGAATCCGATTGTCGAGATCTCAATAAAGATATTTCTTGTCTTAATTCCTAAACAAAACAGTTTTTCATTACAACAACAAAAAATACAATGGATATTTACAAATAGTAAATAGGTGGTACCCTAATTTGTGCTTCCTGTTGTTGTACCGACGCTAATATTGTTGATAAAGTCACTTCGATTCTTTGATTGGATTTCCAAAGGCCGGGATCGGACAATGTTTCCGGATTTCCATCACATTTATCTTGAGAAACCCTAAAAAAATTCGTTTTTTATATTATTATTAATAATAATAATTCTTCAATTTTTTTTTAATTAAAAAAAAAATTTATTTATTTTCTCACCTGGTGTTTATTATTTTAGGTAAATCATCGGTTGAATTAATTATTGGCAAATGAGGCCAACCGTTGCTCGATTGAACTTTTGCATCCAATGAATCTATTATTTCACTTTCCTTATTTTTTACGTCAACGCTAAAATTTTAAAAAATTAAAAACATTCCAATCGTATAGCTTTCAAGAGTGATTATTAATTAAAAAATAACTTTTTTTTTTTTTTTATTACTTACTCTGACATTTCACCACCCGAATAATAGGGTCTCTGCGGCGGTTGCAAATTAATTAAATCTTCAACTTCTCTCCCGGAATTATTACTTTGAAGTGATAAAATTTCTTGAACTTCCCGACTCGGACTACTGCCTCCGCTTACCAAAACATCTCGCGAAAATGATGAAAAAACATCTTGCTAAAATTAAAAGCAAAATAAAATAAATATTAAAAAATAAATAAAATAAAATATTACACGTGTACATACGTTAATTACAGAATTTTTTTGTCCCGACGGAAATTCTTCAACTTCTTTCTTTATCGCCGTACTGCTAAATTCCTCTGGAGTCATAAGATTCAATGGAATCGAAGAACCACTTGTATTACTATAAATTTCATTTTCGGGAAGTAAAGATTCCATGTCTTTTTTCGATCCTTGTTCGGAAACTGAAAAAACATCAACGCAAATGCAGAACATTTGTTAACGTAGTAACCCGAAGGAGACGGAATTTTTAAATACCTAAATTGTCACGAATTATTGTGCTCAATAAAAGGTCGCTCTCCGGAGGAGGAGGTACGAACCGTATGCAACATTCTTGCATTGATTTCGGTTGTACTAAATACATGAGGACAACAACGGACTCTTGCACTTCATCATCTTCCGGATCATCTTCGTCATCGTCTTCATCTGGAAATTTAAAAAATTAATTATTATATGTAATGATAAAATCATTCTACCAAAATATATTTAATTTACAAAAAAAAAAAAAAAAAAAAATTACCACTTGTCAAGTTTTTAAACGAACCTTGATCAATGCCAAAAATGCTGTCTTTACAACGTCTCGTACCAGCATCAACAATTCCAAAACTTAATATTGAAAATGGAATTAAAAATTCTGATGCTGAACAAATAAAAGCTATTGTTTCCTTTGGATCTACATATATTCGTAAAACATAAATTACCTGCAAAAAAAAAAAAAAAAATTTATTTAAATAATTAATAATAATAATAATAATAATTTTTGAAATAAATGTTATTTTTAAAAAAATTCAAGTTCAAAAATAATAATTACTTATTGAATAACTAGATTATGTAACCCACATCAAGATGGAAAAAAAAAAAAAAAAAAAAAGTTGTTTAACATACTTTAAAAAATTAAATTAATTAAAACCTTTTGCTGAGCAACGCATTCCTACTTTAAAAAAAAAAAAAACATCATAATTTGTCACATAAAAACAAATTTACGGAGAGAAACGTACGCGCAAAAAATGTCGGTTGTTATAACATAAAAATTATTTAACTGCCATTTAATAAAACATTAATAATATTGAAATTAATTATTCCGCTTAAAAAAAAATAAGCAATAAAAATTTATGTAATACATACATACATACAACTTACTTGATTATAAATGTCAGATAAAAGTAAATGTCTTGCTCCCAAATCTAATCCCGCTTTCAAATACATTCCTGTTTTTTTCCCCGAATTTGCATCGGGAGTGAATCGAATCGTTTGTAAACAAGTCCAATGAACGCAAGCCCAAACTTTTAATTCTGTATTATTTTCAGCGCCCGTAATCATAAATTTCCAAAAATGAGACCTAAAAAAAAAATAGTTAAAAAAAAAATTAAAAAAGAAATTAATTAGACGATATAATGGTCCCAAAAAAAAATTACCAACTCTGGATTGTGAGATTTGTGATTATCTAAAAAAAATATTGAAGAAAGTGGTTTTCCATCGTGAGGTCTCCAACTATGCAAACATCTAGGAGTTTGTTTTTGTTGCATATAAACCTAAAATAAAAATAATTAATAAGGCGGCTTTTGAAAAATTCGAATTGTTTAAAAAAAAAAAAAAATTTTTTTCGAATAAAGTCATAATTGTATTTACAAATCAATTCTACCTGAAAAAACCTTATGGTTCCATCTAAGCTAACGGTAGCAAGAGCACTACCTTCGGGTGAAAAAGTCGCGTCCACTATAGATTTAGTATGTTCTTCTATTATTAATAAACCCTCTTCCAAGTCTTCGGATTTGTGAGGACCCGGGCCGTACCTTGCAATCACAGCAGCCACATGCCATAATTCTGCCTGCAATCACAAAAATTTTCAATTCAATCAATGGTCACAGATTTAAAAATTATCCTTGTTAAAAACCATATAGGGGGTCAATGCACTCTAATAAAAAAAAAAGTACCTTACATCCTAAAGTTAAAACTAACAATTTGGCAATGTCACCGTATTCTTTCGAATCATCATTCTCGTCAGGCATATAAGGTACCCATATGATCCTATGATTGCAACCGGGTTCCGGCTTGATATTATGAACAACATGTAGTACGAGCATGCACGACAACGTTTTCGTGGCTTCATCTTCTTCTACCATGTACACAAAAAGATTACCCGTTTCGTCGACGATGGCAAGCCACACTTGATATTCGATATAAGCAAAAGCTATGTCTTGAATTAATCCTTCCATTCCTTTTATCAGACCTCTCTGACTCGTCATTCTATTAACCACTCTGACAACGCCATTATTTTGACCCCCCGCTGCTCCTGCTGCTGCTGTTATATACACATTGTGAGACAAAAAATAAATTAATTAAAGGATAAAATTAATTTTAAAAAAAAGTTAATAACAACCTTTCTTCTGTTCACCTTTTAAACCGTAAGCTATATATCTACCCCCGATGTGTACGGCAATTAATTGTCCCGTGTAAAACCTATGTTCCCACGTGTAATCAACGATGCTTTTTAAATTAACGTTTGGACTACATTTTCCGCGTTTTCCATCACTTGGTATCAACGTAACTCTAGTGCAAGTTAATTCCTCCGAGTGTTGATCATTTTCACCCGTAAATTTTCTGAAAAAAAAAAAAATCGTAATAAATTAATAATAATAATAATAATAACCATATAAATAATTGTCAATAAATATTAATTATTTTTATTTCAAATTTTAAAACGAAGGCAATCTTGTTTGTGTTTACAATGAAAATTTATATATATATATATATATATATATATATATATTATTAATAAAAAAAGAAAAATAAATATATTTTTTCCTAGGATAATTTAATAACATTTTAATCCAATATTTTTTTAAATACCAAAGGTTCGATATTATTAAACAATCATCATGGCGTATCATCCTTTCTTTCTATACCAAAAAAATTAAAATTCAATAATCAATGTAAACAAATTTTTTTTTTTTTTTTAAATAAATTTATTTAAAGGTCAGTCGTGAAAAATAATTTAAATAAAGGAAAATTTTTCCTTGTTTTCTTTTTTTGTCCCCCCCTCCAATATTTAAGCTTATATTTTCTTATAATTAGCTTAAGATATTACATATTATTATAAATTTTTTTTTTTTTTTTTTAAGGAATAAATCGTAGTTTTTCAATCTGAAACAGGTATTTTAATTGTCGATGGGATCTTTTTTTTTTTTTGGGGGGGGGGGGGGAAATCAGGTAAAATATTCTGAATAATAATAATAATAATAATAATAAATAAATCATGATAATCAAATTGATAATTTTTATGGTTTTAAGTGATACTTCAAAAGTTCAATTAATTAATTTTTAGAAAAAAAAAAGTTTAAGGTGGAAACTAATATTAAAGATAAATTTATTAAAATAAATTTTTTTTTTTTTTTTTTCAATATTTACTTACACTATCTGAGTTATACCCTGACCGGATAGTTTTCTAGGTATACAATCGGAAGGTGTCAAAGCATTGTCGGCATCTTGAGGTGATTCCATAATTTAATTAATAATAAAAACTTTATGGTGACCTAAATAAAAAAAAAAAAAAAAAAAAAAACAAATATAAGATTTTTTTTTTTTTTTAAAAGATTACTTGACAATAAGCCCTTGATTTGGGTTTTTGTCAAAAAAAAAAAAAAAAAAGAAAAACCAAAGATAAGAAAAATTAAGAGAGAAATATTTAAATTGTTTTCTTACTTATCACAAAGTTAAGTATAAGTATAATAATAATAATAATAATAATAATAATAATAATAATAATAATAATAATAATAATAATAATAATAATAATAATAATAGCATAAATTTTCAAAAAAATTATTTTTCCAAAAAAATATAAAAACTCTAAATTTTCAATCGGAAAATTTTGTAAAATGTTTTTTTTTTTTTTTTTTTTTTAAATTTATGTCATCAAATTAACAATCATAAAATTGTATAATAATAATAATAATTATTATTAATTGTAAATCAACCATAAGATATGAAAAAAAAAATTAATAAATCGCCATCCTTACGTAACAAAGTAATATAAAGGTAAAATCGCAAAAAAAAAAAAAAAAAAAAAAAAAAAAAATGGCATCTTCAGATTACAAAATGGCAATCAACTCAAAACTTCATATATCTTTTTTTTTTTTTTTTTTTTAACAGTAAAGTTTAAAATTCAATATTAAAAAAAAAAAAAAAATTGAATAAAATTTTATATAAAATTATATTTCCCAACTTTGACAACTTTTTACGCAATCTCCTCAACTTGTTTTCGACTTTTTTAGCATTTTGATTACAACTAGTTTTGGCTCATTTTCTATTTTGTTTATAACAAAAAAAAATTTTAATTTGTTAACAGTTAGTTTTCAGGTATTAAAGACATAAGATCGATTCATTAGGTGCGTATGTATTTCGTTTCTTTCTTTTTTTTTTTTTCTTCTTCTTCTTAATAAATAAACTAAACTACCATCTCATCTCATATATATATATATATATATAAAGTGTATCAAGTTGTAAAAAAAAAAAACGAAAAATACATTTAACAGAAATTATTTGTAAAAAAATTAATATGAAATTTTAGTAGAAAAATAGCATTATTTTTTTTATCAAAAGTAAATATCATGCTGCAATTATTTAACTTGATCAATTACTGTGTAATTATTAGTGATTTTACTAGGGCAGGCAAAATAAATTATTACATAAATCAATTTATAATTATATATATATATATAAAAAAAAAAAAAAAAGAAAAGGCTTTTATTATCTAAAAGTTTAAATAAAGTAATTGAATGAACCTGTAAAATAATAATAATAATATCATCTAATAAATATTAATCAAAGAATTGATTAGATATAAATAAATACATTTTGGCTTATCAGGGGAGTATAAATTGGCCGTAAATTTAAAAATTTACTAGTGGGAAACTACCGTTGGGGGGAATAAATATTCGCAAAGTATGTAATAAATAAATTTTATACTAATTTATAAAAAAAAAAAAAAAAAAAAAAAATTTTTTAAATGTAAGAATATTTTGTTTTTTTTTTTTTTTTTTTTTTTTAATATATATATTTAATTTTTTTTTCAGAATGATTTGTAAAAGCTTACTTTTTTTGTTATTGCTTGGTGTTTTGAAAACATCAGATGGATACTCATCAGGAGCTCCTTCGAGTGCATGTGAAGATATGGTGCCTCAGCATCACACACCACCACAGACTTCTCCCTTTCCTTATGCCGTAGTTTTAAACAAAAAGGAAGTTAAAAGTGGTGAAAGTGTTACGGTCACAATAACAGGAACCGAAGCCGCCAAAAATTTCAAAGGATTTTTTGTACAAGCTCGAGTTGGAGATGTAGCCGTTGGTAAATTTCTTAAAACTAAAAATGTAGATTTAGTTAACTGCGGAGACAGTAAAGAAGTAAGTTATTTCTTATATATTTAAAATATTTTGTGTGAGAGAAAATTTTTTTTATTTATTTTTGTTTTTTTTTTCAAGTCTGGGGCTACACATGACTCTTCTGATGTAAAAGAAAAAGTTGTTCTCACATGGAACGCACCTGAAGGTCTATCAGAAACAGTTAGATTTAGAGTTACAGTTGCAAAAGATGGTGGCACTTTCTGGGTTGGTCATCTAACAGAACCAGTGGTCGTAAAAGCCAACTAAGTTTTTTTTGCAATAAATTATGCATTTATTAATAATAAAACATGTTTATAAAAATTTTGTATCGAGAATAAAAATGCTTTCATTACAAAATTTATGCTAATAAAAATATATAGCATAATTAAATATGAAATTTTTTAAAATTATTATAACAATCCTTGCAATTTTTAAAAATAATTACAAGTAGAAATGATCGATTAATCAAATAATTAAAATTTTCCTTTTTAAAATTTTTATTTTGCTATTTTTTTTTTTATATGTAGTTAAAAAAGTAAAGAAGACAATTACCTATGCAGCACATGCGAGAAATTTCATGTGAAAATAAAATTAAACATTTTCAAAATAGTATTAAAGAAAAACGAAAACAAAAAGACCAAAAAATACAAATCGAATTTAATCTTAATTATAAAATATGAAAAAATTAGAAATAAATTTTAAAGAACTCAAACTTTGGTCTGCCATTAAAAAATTCATAATGAATGGCAACAAACAGGTCATTTTTTGACTAACTATAAAAAAAACATGTTTTAGAAACTGTTATCAATTATGTAGTCAAAAAACCAAATTTGAACACACAAATACTAATTATTTAAAAATAGAATTCGGTTGAGAATTTGTATTGTTAAAGAAGCTGATATTACTTGCATGTTAAGTCGTCACACGTTTTTTTTAATTGACAACTTGGAAAAAATTTTCTAATTTTATACCAATAAATAATTTAGTGAGTCACCAGTTATAAAAGTTTAAGTAAATGAAACCTAGCTAATAGAAAATTAGCTTAATTAAAATAAATAATTAAAATACAGCTCACGCCATTGAAGGTTTATTATAGTTAAAATTAAAAACCAACATAAAAATTTTTTATATAAATAAATAATATGATCCATACCAGTAAAAAATTCAGGCTGAATATTAATGTAAAACTTAAATAAGCAAAAATTACAAAAAAAAATTTTAAATGAAAATAAACTAATTAATATAGTAACTATCTTTAAAAAAAAAAAAAAAAAAAAAAAAATTAACACTATGATTAAAAAAAAAAATTAATATGATGATAAAAATAATTTTTACTTTACACAAAATTAATAGCGTGCATTTCATCCATTGAAATTATTGCGGAAACCTTGGCGGCATCGAATAACATTTAATTTCCGTAGAATTTACGCACACTTGTTTACTATATTATAAAAATAAATGTAAAATAATTTCGTTAAAGTATTTAAAATAAATTTTAATTATTTTTATTTGTTTTTTTTTTAATTGAATTGAATTGAAAAACAACTTCTTGTTTACTTTTTATTTTTTAACTTATTCTAATAATATGTAAAAAAAAAAAAAAAAATTATAAAAATTATAAAATTTTGACGCCATTTTCTTAAATATATATGGTAGAACCACGTGCAGCGGCTTCTGAAGCTTAAAAACATTGTATTTAATAAATAATGGGTCGACCGGGTAAGTTTAAATTTTAATTTACCATCATTATTTCGATATTATTTTCGTATGTAATGTATAAATTCTTATAAGTTATAATTTATTTTTATTGTTTATAAAAATAAATTTCATTATTTTAACCGTCTACTTCTGTGTGTACATGGCATATCAATAGAGTTATGTTTCAATTCAAAAAATTTTTTTTTATTTGTCCTTTTGTTTTAATTTTTTTTTACAATTTTAAAGATACATTTATGAAAACAAAATAAATACTTTTGTAAATTAAAATCGAATATAATTTTTCCTTATCTATTTGTTATTATCGAAAAAAATATTTTATTTCTAAACTTTTTTTTTAAGTTCTTTATCTCAAGCTCTTGTAATTTTTTAGGTTTTTCACCTGGAGGTAGAGGTGGCCGAGGAGGTGGAGGCGGTGGCAGAAATTTTAAAAGCCCAGGAGGCGGAGGTGGAGGCGGTGGGAGAGGTTTTGGAAGAGGTGGAGGAGGGGGCGGGAGAGGTAGAGGAGGTTTTGGAAAAAGTCCAGGTCGTGGAGGCGGCGGTGGAAGAGGGGGAGGTAGAGGAGGTGGAAGAGGTGGAGGAATGAAGGGAGGCAAAACTGTTGTTGTAGAACCTCATCGTTTACCTGGAGTATTTGTTGCAAGGGGTAAAGAAGATGCTCTCGTCACTCTAAATATGGTACCAGGTGTCGCAGTGTATGGTGAAAAAAGAATAGTTGTCGAAGTAAGTTTATCAGAATTGTAATTAAATGTAACTTTTGTAAACTTTTCTGCAAAAAAATATGCAGTTTAGTTTTATTTTTCTTGGGCATTATTTACATTGTATATATTTTTTAAATTTAGAATGAAGGTGATAAAATTGAATACAGAGTTTGGAATCCTTTTCGTTCAAAATTAGCTGCTGCTATATTAGGTGGCATTGATCAAATTCACATGCCTCCAGGCAGTAAGGTGTTATACCTTGGAGCTGCTTCAGGGACAACTGTTTCACATGTCTCAGATATTGTTGGACCTCAAGGTTTGGTTTATGCAGTAGAATTTTCACACAGATCAGGAAGAGATTTATTAAATGTAGCTAAAAAAAGGACAAATATAATTCCAATATTAGAAGATGCTAGACATCCTCATAAATACAGGATGTTAGTCGGTATGGTAGATTGTGTATTTGCAGATGTAGCACAGCCTGATCAAGCTAGAATTGTGGCATTAAATTCACAATATTTTTTGAAAAATGGGGGACACTTTGTTATTTCCATTAAGGTGAGTATATAATTGAAAACCCTTTTTAAATTAATTTATCAAATATTGCTTTTAAATTAAAACATTCATTTTAAATTATAATTTTGCAGGCAAGTTGTATAGACTCAACTGCTCAACCAGAAGCTGTTTTTGCCTCAGAAGTAAAGAGATTACAGGCTGATAAATTAAAGCCCATAGAGCAAATAACGCTAGAGCCATATGAAAGAGACCATGCTGTTGTAGTAGGAATATTCAGGCCCCCGCCCAAAAAATAAGCAAAGATTATAATTTTTTTAACATTTATAAAAATTATTTTTATTCTATAATTATAGAATTAAATACAAACTTTTAATTATTTGAACTTTATTTTATTTTAAAGAGTAATATTTCAAACCACTTAAGTTTTCTTTTAAATCCTCTCTTAACTTTAAAATTCTAAAAAGTAATTTAAATCGAATGGAATTTTCCTTCGCTTTTATGTGCAACAGAAATGATCATCATCAATTGTTGTGTATATATGACCTTCACAAACTAACTTGTCCAATGTTTCTCTAAAATAAGATTTTACATTAAAATAATTTTAGTAATTTTACTAAATGTTTAATCAAAATTTGTATATATTATTCTTACTGTATTTCCTTTTCAGAATACTTTTTGCTTAACCCTGATTCATATCTTGACCACCCTACAGGATTTTGTACACTCTAAAAAAATTAAATTAATTTTTTTGTTATAACCGACAAAAACTACAATTCAAGTATTTTGTAAAACTACTTACACTTATGGCATCCATAATTGCTTTTTGAATTGGTGTTAGTTTGTTTCTATCATCAGTGGAAATATTAAATGAAGTGAATGAATTTTGACCAAATGCATTTGTGGCTGGTACTTTAGAATCCTATAATAATTAAAATTCTCAACTAACATTTCATTAATTACATTAATTAAGCAAAGAAACTAGACGATATTTACATACATGAATAACTACGACAAAAATACTGCAAAAATTATAGTAATTATTTTTATAATGAAAACATTATTATTTTAATAATTTTTATATTTATTGAAGCTGATTGTCATGAGAATATTAATAAGTACAAATCAGAGTAGTGTCTTTATTTATCAAGTAAATTTGTTTGAAGGAGTAAAACATAATATAATTTTTTGTAAAAATGCTATTTTTACCTTGGTTGTTTTTTCAGCATATTCATTGGTACTTAAAACTTCTAACATAAATGCAGTTATTTCATTAAAATCAGTAACTTTGACTGTTTTAAACACCATTATTCTTCTACTTCCTTGGGGATATTTAACACAACCATAAACATGATAATAATTATTTTCTAAAAGATTTGTAGTTTTAGATATTTTACTGTTATCCTGCAAAAATTAATGCTAATTATAGATTACATCACAAAAGAAAAGAATATTCGAAAAAATTCAAATCTTCCTACCTGAGTTTCCAGCCATTCTAAACAATCGATTATTCCTGTGTCATCAGTTAAACTAAATTTTATAGTCGTTGATGTTATTTCAACATTACTAACTACTCCACAAAGTGATACCTGTAAATAAAATTACCTACCATTTAATTAAAATAATATTACTAATTTCCATTTAATATCATTATATAATATAATAATATATATAATATATTATAATATAATATAATAATATATATAATATATTATAATATATATATATATATATATATATCCTAATTATATCATCAAAAAAAAAGATACTTCCTTTTCTATAAAATTAAAATTAACTTACCATAGTAGCTGTCAAGGATCCTACTTTTAAACCTTGCTCAGGAGCTTCTAAAACTTGCCTGACAGTAACAGGACACAAAAATTGTTGTCTGATAGCTGAAGATACAGATTGGTTAGGAGTAGTGGGCTCATTTCCCACAAAATATCCTCCTCCTTCATCTAAAAAAAAAAAAAAAACAATATTTAAGTAAATAAAAAAATTTATTTAGATAAGATATGTAGAAATGCATTTTTAAAGCCAAAATTTTAAATAATAAATTTAGCATACTATTATCACTCCATTGATCCATGACTGCTTTAAAAAAACGATAACAACTTACTGACTGACAAGCACAAACTGACTCGTAAATAAAATTTTCCCGCTATTTTATAATGGCGTCCGAGATTATGCAAAAACTAATAGTAGCAAAAACAAATAGTAGCAAAAACAAATAATAGCAAAACTAATAGTAGCAAAAACAAACAGTAGCAAAAACTAATAGTAGCAAAAACTGATAATAGCAAAAACTAATAATAGCAAAAACTAATAGTAGCAAAAACAAATAGTAGCAAAGTTTAAATTTTAAAACAAGACTTTGATAATAAACTTTTTATTTATTTCATAAATTTAAAATACTTATATGCAATAATATTTTACAAATAAATATACAAGATTTTTATTTAATATTTTTTATTTCAAAAAGACAGTTTTGCTTTCTAAACCTCTAATTTTGTTTTGAATAAAATTAAGTTTAAAACAATTCAAAAAGTTTTTTTTTTAATTTTAATTTAGAAAAAAACTTTAATTAAAGAAAAATATAAACGGCTTATGCAAAAAATAATTTTTAATAATAACTTTCATTTATTTAAAATTTTACGCCAATTTCATTTTTTTGCTATTGTTAACCAGTAGAGGTAGGACATAGCCTATTTCCACGTCATCGGAGAATTCGGGAGTTTAATTTAGCATTTAATAATACCATGATTTTTAGTTAATTTTAATATACATATTTAATTATAATAGCCAAACTTTAATATTAGGAAGTATTAAGAATGGTTAGTCTTTTTAGTTTTATTTTAAGTTTTTTTGACTTAGTAAATATATTATTTTTAATTGTTCTGGGTTCACTATTGTTGCAGGTTCTAATAGCAGCTGCGGTTTGTACGAAAAGCGGTAAAAGTAAGTATTTTAAAATTTCCGCGGCTTATAGTTTTTACAATTTATAAATAATTGTATTAATAAGGTTGTATTAATGTGTTTTGCTTAATTTTAGCTATTATATCGCGCCAATTCGTAGAAATGACTAAATCAAGAATAGAAGGGCTTCTTGCTGCTTTTCCAAAATTAATGTCGACCGGTAGGCAACATACTTTTGTAGAAACAGACTCAGTTCGTTATGTTTATCAGCCACTTGAAAAATTATACATGTTGCTCATCACAACCAAAGCTAGTAACATTTTGGAAGATCTTGAAACTTTAAGATTATTTTCTAAAATGGTAACTATTAGTTGAAATACCCAACCTTTTTTTATATTTTTAAGTTTATGTTTTCACAATGTAACAAAATAAGTTTGTATTTTACTTAATGTTTTTTTTTTGATTATGACAGTTTGATTTTTTTTTAAAACGATTAAAATTATAGATTCCAGAATATTGCAGAACAATGGAAGAATCAGAAATTATAGACAATGCATTTAATTTAATATTTGCTTTTGATGAAATTGTTGCATTAGGATATAGAGAAAGCGTAAATTTGGCACAAATTAGAACTTTTGTCGAAATGGATTCTCATGAAGAAAAAATTTACCAAGCTGTTAGAAAAGTAAGGGTTTTTTTTAAATATAATTTTTTATACTATAAATTTCAAGACTCCTACTATTTTTTTTTTTTTTGTATTCAAAAAAATTAATTTTAGACACAAGAAAGAGAAGCCAAAAATAAGATGAGAGAAAAAGCTAAAGAGTTGCAAAGGCAAAAATTAGAAGCAGTTAAAAAAGGTGGAAAAACTCCAGTATTTTCTACTGGTACAGGATTTGGAAGTAATACAGGTGGCTACAATCCTGTATCAAACATTGAATCTTTAATGCTTAGAGGTAAGCAACTATTTTGTCGTAGTTTTACATAAATTTTTAATTATGTAAAACAAAGCAGTATGTGCAAGTAAATAAGAAGTTTTTTGTGATAATATTCATTTCATTGTTAATATTAATTCTTTTTATATTTAATATTAGATGAAGAACCAAGTTATATAGCTCCTGCAAAATCTACGACTAACAAAGCAATGAAATTGGGTAGTAAATCTAAGGATGTAGAAAGCTTTGTTGATCAATTAAAGAATGAAGGTGAAATTGTTCAAACACCTTTGATTAATAAAACTGCAAATACTGGAAAAGTTCATACTTTGGAAAATTTCGATGAGTATGTATTGAATAATTTTGGATTTTCGTTTTTTCCATTATTATTATTAATTTTTAAAAAGCTCAGATTGTATAAGAAATTACAAGAATAGTTTTAATTGTTTTTTTTTTTTTTTTTTACACCATTTCTAAATATACTTTTTCGAACTGAGCAAAATAAATTTTTGAAAACAGGTGTGATTTTATTAAAGTCTAATAACGTCATGTATGCTTTCAAAAACATTTTTTTTTTAAATTTAACTTATTATTTCAGATTTTATGTTAAATTCATTTTAATTTTACGATTAAATTTATGACTTTTATAACTATTTCAGTGTTCATTTAAGGCAAGAGGAAAGATTAACATTACGAGTGGGCCGTGATGGAGGTATTCAATCATTTGAATTGCACGGATTAGTAACGTTAAGAATTTCAGATGAAAAATGGGGCAGATTACGCGTCCAATTAGAAAATAAAGATGATCGAGGTATACAATTACAAACCCATCCAAATGTTGATAAAGAATTATTTAAAATGAAATCCCAAATCGGTTTGAAAAATCCGACTAAGCCATTTCCACTGAATACAGACGTCGGCGTTTTAAAGTGGAGATACCAAACGCAAGAAGAGTCTTCTATTCCTTTAACAAGTAAAAAACTTAATTTTAAATACATGTAATTTACTTCTCAAAGATAAAAAAAATAAAATACCTTTAATATATTTAGTAATGCTGCGTCTGAAAATATCGATGGAGGATGTGACGTGAATATAGAATATGAATTGGAACACGATCACATGGAGTTAAATGATGTTTCTATTGTCATACCACTGCCGTAAGTATTTCTGTCTTGTAATATTTTATTAGTTATTTGCATTCATTATTATTTTATTATTTTTGAAGTTTATTCTGTTACCTGTTTGAAAAACAATTTCATTTAAAATTTTTTAGAATTGGCGTGTCTCCTGTTATAAGCGACTGCGACGGAGAATATCATCACGATTCACGGAAAAACAATTTGACGTGGTCGTTACCTGTTATTGATTCGTCTAATAAATCAGGATGTTTAGAGTTTTCAACATTAACTTCAGTTCCAAACGATTTTTTCCCATTGAATGTAGCCTTTACATCAAAAACGTCTTATGCAGATTTAAAGGTAATACTCTTTACTACTTTAATGTATTATATTTGTGTAAATTTTTTATTTTGTATTAATCGAATTAAAATAATTTTAAATAATTTTTTTTTTAGATAACGGATGTGCATTTGGTTGAAAATCAAGCACCTGTTAAGTACTCTGTTGATACAGTTTTTGTAGTTGATAAATACGAAATTGTTTGAGAGAAAATTTTCATTCATTATTTTAATTATGTATTCAAATAAAATGAATTTTAATTTGCTAATATTTGTCTCGAGCTTTAATAATAATTGTGTAATTACAATTGAAACCTTAAATGGGATTTTAAAGCTTCTATTTACTTAAATATAAGAAAAAGAATATTATAAAAATAAAATCAAATTATTTAAACTTGATAAAACATATGTATATATTTATAAAAAAAAAAAAAACTCAAAAAAATACTGCATTTTTTTATTTTGGTCCGTAAGATGTTTTTTTCGTTTTAATAATAAAATTATTATTTTCTATCAACACATTGTTGCTTCAATTTAAACAGCCATGTTTAAAGATTTAAAACAAAATAAAATGTTTTAGAATCTTTTAAAAATTGAAGCAAATTGAAAGATATTATGTTGAAAGAAAATTAATTTTATTATTGTTATTATTATCGATTGAGATTTTCAGATGACATTTTCAATTTCTTTTGATAAAGGAAAATTTGATTTTACTATAAAATCCTTTACCATTTCATTTTTTTTAAAAATTCATTTTGATTGAACAAGAGTCAAAAATTCTTCTCTTGTTTTGGGATTGTCTCGAAATTCTCCTAGCATGGTTGATGTTACAGTTTTGCTATTTATTTTTTGAACCCCTCTCATCACCATACACATGTGTCTGAAACAAAAAATTTTTCCCCCGCTTATACATTTCAATTAAGTTCGAAAAGCTTTAAATACAAATTTCCCAAAAAAAAAAAAACTTCTGACTCTTACACTCCTTCAACAATTACAGCTACTCCTGCTGGCTGTACTGCTTTTGTTACTGCTTTTGCTATCTGTTTGGTAAGCCTTTCTTGAACTGTAATTTAAAAAAATATAATTTTTTTAACCGAAAAAAAAAAAAATCAGTCAAATTATTAATTTTTGAATGCAATTTACCCTGTAAACGACGACTGAATATTTCCACTATTCTTGCTAACTTGCTTATACCCAAAATTTTTTTGCAAGGTAAATAACCAATCGAAACTTTACCGTAAAACGGTACCAAATGATGTTCACACATGGAAAACATTTCTATATCTTTAACAACAACCATTTCATCATGATCTTCATCAAAAATTGCATCGTTTAAAACTTCTAAAAAAAAATTAATAAAACGGAAAAAATTTTTTAATTAACGTCAAAATAATAATAATTTTTCGATAAATCTTAATGTTAAAGTTATTATTTTAAAAAATTTGTGAATACTTTTTTTTTTTTTTTTTAATGGCGAATAAAAATACTTGAAAGCGTAAATTTTAATGATTAAACGATAAAGATATTTTGCAATTACAAAATAGCTCAAGTTTTAAACTTCAATGTCGACTTGTTGCTCAATTATTTGCCATTAGCAAACATCTGAAATTTTTCAATCGTATTGTTGCCGTCGTATTTATGTTATTCCGCTTCGAAAGTTATATGTAAAAGGTACTTGTTGTAAATATATTTGTAATATATTGTTTAAATTGTTCATTGCGTTACAAATAATTTTTTTTTTGGATTATATTTTATAAAGTTATGATTAAAATACTTCGTTTTAAATACAATCATAATTTTTGTTACGTTAAAAATAATATTTACTCTTGGATTTTGAATTAAAACAACTTTCAGATATGATGAATAAATATCAGTGTTTAAAATACCTAATTTAAAAAATTTTTTTAAAGAAAATTTATTGTAAATAAATAGTTGAAAGATTATTCGATAAAAATAAAATGGTTTATACTTCGACCGAAAAAATTAAAAACAACAAATTGCAAGAATCATCCGATATTATAACAAATACAAATGACAATAATTATGAACAAGGACACTTGTGGATGTGTACGGCATGTGAATATCTTCCGACGTTTGATACAGTGTACGATCTTTTTCAACACAAAAAAAATCATTTTTCAATAATAGGTAATAATAATGAAAAAAAGAAAGAAGTTAGTGATGATCAATCATTAAATTTAAATGAACAAAACGTTAACGTCGAATATAGTAATGAAAAAGAAAAAAGCGTTGACCAAAAGACTTTAATTTCTAATAATAAAAACTTTAACGACCTTTCATTCGAGAAAAATGAATCAAATTATGTAAGAAGTGAGAGTGAATCATACCAATTAAATTCTCCTACATCATCTACATCTTCTGAAGATATTCCTTTGGCTAATTTAGTTTTAAAAAAATCAAAAACAATAAAAAATAAATTAAAATTAAAATCTAAAAATTATAAATGTGGACGGAAAAAAAATATTGTGAATAAATGTAATGGTACTAAAAAAGAAGTAGATAATTTAAAGGAATGCAATGATGAATTACTACCTAAAATTGAAAATTCATCTGTGAGTAATTCAAACAATTTATCAAATAAACCAAGTCCAGAAAATAATAATAAATTTCTTGAAAGCGAAAAGGAACAAAACGATTATTTTACTGATGATTGTGATAAAAATGTACCTGATACGAAAAGTCAAACAATTATAAAAAAAAAAAAACATTTTTGTAAAATTTGCCACACTGAATTAACATCTAGATTTGCTTTATCAATTCACAAAAAATCCCATTTATTCGAAGACACAGGTTGTTATAAGTGCGATACGTGCGGAAAAATGTGCCCAAAATATGATAATTTCACAAGACATTTAACTATTCATTTTTCGAATAGAGAAAAATCTCATCAATGCAGTCATTGCTTTGCTTCATTTTATAATTTGGCAGACCTCAAAAGGCATTCAGTTCTACATTCTGCTGTGAAACCATTCAAATGTGAACATTGCGGAGAAGGTTTTATAAGGCAAGACAATCTTTTAATACACGAATATAAACACACTGGAGTTCAGTATAAA